AATTTGGCCGTGATATATATTGACTAAAAAAAACATGGTTGGCGCTGATATGTAATTTTGTAGTATTTACTATATATATGTATGTGTATGTCTTAAATCTGAATTACTTGCATGCCAATTTATTTTATCTGTCACTACACTAAACCTAGCTCACAACAAATATTGCTAGGTCAGAAAACAAATTAATCACTGATATATGTACGTATTATGTGTGTATATATGTAAAAATCTTTTTCCATGTCATAAATATTTGACCAAACATATACATATACGTATATATCCATCAATTTAATTAGTGATATCTGCGGAATGCATGCGAATATATTGTATCACGTCGGTCAAACCAATTCTCTTGTGGTGTTGATATCAAATGGTGAATTTATATATATATATATATATAAATGTGTGTGTGAATGGGAAATTAATTGGGTGCGTTTCACATTAGGGGGGGAGAGAGGGATGGTCCCCGAAGCAATTGCTTGGGACCCAGCTTTGGTTATTAGGGGGAAAACATACCACATCTCCTCTTCTTTAATATTATACGCACCTTCTTTTATTTTTATTTATTCCAACAAGCTAAATTCATTTATTAGTTGTCCTCCCTTCTTTTATTATTATTGACAATTAGAAAATTATTTTGATTTTCTTTCCAAATATACACACCACTATCACACCCTATATATATATATATATATATATATATTCCCCCATACTCCATCTTGATTCTTGACCATGCATGAACTGTATAATATCATCATCTTTCATAGCACGAGATAATTCTATCATAATATATAATGTAAACTTGTAAACCATATATATATATATAGGTTTGATTTCCACGAAAATAGCACCTGTTGTAAGCATATAATAAACACATGCATCTAACATTATAAATGAATGAATATATATATATATATATATATATATATATATATAGAATATGAGGTGGACCACACTATGAGCATCTCTGTAAAATGGCACAAAAATGGGAGAGTGAGATCAGTCGTGTAGTTCCAAGTTCCAAGAACAAACCCTAAGCTTAGAAAGAGTATTCTCTGTCTCCGACATCCATCAGAATTTCTCAGATTTCCCCCCCACTTTCTGATTCCCTTTTGTTTTTGTTTTTTTTTTTTATCTTCTTTTATGTTCTTATAACCAATACGCTTCATCGTTATAATCATCTCATCCATAATATATATATTTTTTTCTCATCCATAATATTCATGCTATCTTTTTTCTTGGGCGATAATTAACCCAATCTTTCTGTGAAATTCCGTTTACAAGGAGGGAAAAAAAAGGGTCAGGGGTAGTTTGGTCATTGCATTAACAGAAGCCATGCACAGCAGTGGGAGTCGGAGTGATGACGTCATCGGAATAGCAGGGGTAGTTTCGGTAATCCGTAGAAACGGCGGAGGAGGGGGGCGGCTCCCGTTGTTGGACCACTTTGCTTTAAAGCAATCGCGAGAGTTGGTCTATAAATGCTCACTCCCGAACCCAGCGCGTGTGTTTCACGCACGTCCTTTTGTATTTGTGTACGTACATACATACATACATACATCAAATTTAATATTTTATTCAGATTATTTAGATAAATCATTTTTTATCTATAGTTTAGAAGGATTTAAACAGGTGATGCTTTACAAAACGTGAATAGATAAAATAATCATTTGTAGAAGCCTTTGTTTTAGCGCGTGGAAGAGGACGCGTTTCATCAAAATAATAAAAATAATGGGAAAAAAGAATATGGTCCCCAACGAAAGAAAAAAAAAATTGCGATTTTCCACGGAGTGTTAATGCAAAGAAAAAAAAACGAAGGACCACTTCGCCCCTTAAATCCGGGAACAATTCTTTATAACATTTTTTTTTCCAATGCATGTATGTTCCATGCGATTCGTTATTTGTTTATTTATCTCTATATATATATACATAATTCATATATATATACACACACACACACACATTAGTTATAACTATTTATAAACTATAATAATTTTCCAATATCACTACTGAGACATACAGCTTCTTTGTTGGGATTAGAATAACCAAACAATTTTATATATATATATATATATGAGATGCTTATGAATCAGAATGAAACAGTTGCATAGTTTAAAGCGGTATATATTATCGATATAAACTAAAATTGATACTCTACGTTAGAAAATAGAAATATGCTATTCTATAACTGAATTGTTTATTTAAAATAAGTTGTATCCATAAATTATTAAGATGAAAATAATAAATGTCGAAAAGTAAACTCATTTTTGTCTTCTTTTATCTGTCGTTTCTGTACTCGTCTTTACAAGTTGGCTTGACGTTAACTAATCAATATTATCCTAAACAAAAGGTTGTTAAAAAAAATTGTCAAATGAAAACATAATATGTAAAATAAAGTTATAAACTAAAAATACAATTTTGTCCATTCAATAGAAACTTTTTCACCGTCATTAAAATATTTTAATTTACGAATAACATCGTATCATCCATATTTTAATTTAATTATTTTCGGATCTTAGTTTTAATTTTTTAAGAATTCCGACAGAAGCTTGTTGGTTCGAAAAAACTTGTATTGTTTAATGTATTGTGTTGCCGTTGATATTATTATTAATGTTCAATTTATTGTGATATTAATTGTAACGTTTAATTTAAATTATTTAAAATTGAGTTGAGGGAACAGATAAATGATTTGCAGTAAAAAGAAACGAGGGCCACGAAATAAAAAATAAAAAAAAATGAAATGAGAAAATCAGAAGAAATAGAAACACACACACATCTGAGAAAAGCCTGAACTCAACATCCACTTCTGGTTCGATTTTCTTGGCATTCACACCATTCATTTATTTATTATTTCATTAATTTATTTATGTATTAGGCGATGGCCCATCTGCTCCATACACCACAACTTTAATATAACATTTACTAAAGCAGGTAATATTAAATGTTATATTGAATAATTTATCATTCCAGACAATTTTTAAGGTTACACACACTGCCTGTCTTAAGTTCAGACAGAAGAACCACACATATTTCTGTTAATAAATATTAACTACAGATGTTACTATCACTACTTTCTGGTAAATATTTTTTTTATCACTTTTTCTTTAGGGTAAAATTTATCACTATAACTAGTTTTGTTACTATTCAATCAAATTTTTTTTATATTGGTGATTGCTCATATGAGATTCGAATCGGGGTGATATATATAAAATATGAAATGATTACGTTGATTTATCCAAGAGGATATAATAACACAACGAATCATGCAATGGATAAAATAAAAAAACTCGTGCAGCACTTGGGGTTATTGTTGTGGTTCCCGGCCTTCGATCCCTCACCGATTCACTCCGATTCACCCTCGTTTGAACAGATCCGAAAAGAAACGCGAGAGACACCGAAGATACGAGTTCAGTACCGAGGGGAACCTCGGTACCTACGTCTCGGGAAGAGGAAGAGTTCGATCTAGGGTTACAGAAGAAGAAGCCGTCGCCGGAAAACCGCCGTTGGCGGCACCGGACACGGTGAGGCGAAAAACGCCTTTGCGAAAACAAGAGAGAGAACACCAAAACGGCAAAACCAAAGTCTGAGCAAAAACATCAAAACCCTAGGTCAGATTATTGACCTAACCAAAAGACGACTTTGCCCCTCCGTCCTTCAGAGCTTCTCTTTCGCCCAGAGTCTTTCGAAGACTCTACTCCATTTGGAGTATTTGCTGAAGATATCCCACAGTTATGAAAACAGAAACTTTAATGAGAGAATATAGCAATATGCATTTGCTTAAATACATTTCATGGGTAGTTGCTATATATATATATATAGGTTTAGTATATATAACGTTAGCACTAAATTAAGTATTTCAAAAATATATTTAATCATAATCAATTGCTAGATGAAACGAATTGATGAAGACATGCCATATGACTGTTTTGTAGATTGTGTCGCAGGGAAATGGTCTACCACTTTGCTTTCGTATGTTCCTAAGTTTTGTACCACATGCCATTCTTCTTCTTTTTTCCCCCAATAATTTTTCACGGAAATTCATTGCGTGGGACCATTATATATATATATATACGCATGCATGTACCATTTTGAATTTTCTTATATGGTTCGTGACTTCCTACAAATTATTGGGTTCTCGAAATTATCGAGAATTGGAAAAAAAAAATGGTTGGGGGAGACATAATGCTGTTGGGATTATCTTCGTCTACTTATTAATTAAATCCATCTAAAACTAGAATTAGTCTCAGTCAACTCATAATGTTTAAACGCGTTATTTTTAGTTTCTTATATTGTTATAATTTTATTACAACATAAATTATTATTCCAAAAAAAATTATGGTTACAAAATTATAACTCTTCATAAATAAACATACCTAAAATAAATCTAGTGTTTACTTCATTGAGGAAAAGAGATAAGATCACAAACATGTCGCTCACTTGTTAATATCATAAATTTCAATCATATTCACATGATTTCGACTCGTTTCTAAATTAAGATGATTGCTCATTGCCGTTTGACACAACATTCTACCAGTAAATACGTTATTTATTGTTCCAACATTGGTTCTCAATGCCATGACACGTATTCAAACGTAACATATGCCATAACTCAAAATCTGCATGGTGTTTGGGAAATAATTTTAAAAAAATACACGTAAGCAGGTGAATTATTAAAATTCGTAAATATTTTACGTTAGAAAAACAGTAAAGTATTAATTTGACCCAATTGTGGGAAGAGAGAGAGAGAGTGCAGTCTATAGAGGCTATATGGGAGGGTCATGATCACCTATCATCTGATCTCTCCTGTTTTTCTGAAGAAGAGATACCCATCTGATGATATTTTCTCTTCCTAGGTTTGTTTTTCAATTTCATTTACTTTTATTTTGCATTTTTAATATTATTTTTTTGTTGTCTAAGGTACAAATCTTGAAAGTCCATGTTGGTTTATTAAGAAAAGAAAAAAAAGGGAATATATATTTTTTTTCAAGTACAAAACAATAGAGAGGAGAAGCCACACAATCTCTTTTTCGGCTCTCTCTCTCCCTCCCTCCGTTATCTCTCTTTAGCCCCCTCGTCTTTTTCCTCCTCTTCTTGCTTTCTATCTCTGCCATAGCCATAGCCACCAAAGAATAAGAAGGACAAAGAAAAAAGCATGTATCTTTCCTGTTTCTTCTTCTAGGGTTTATACTAATTAATGGGTATGGTTCTTTCTGCTACATCCCCATGATTTGGAGCTTCCGGGTTTCAAAAAAGTTTGCTTTTTTATTTTGTTTATTGTTTCTTTTCCACTTTTTCAGGAGCTGGGTTCCTGTAGATCTTGATGAACTCCAGTTTGTCCTGAAGACATGGCAAGGGATTTCTATTCCTCTGAGGAGATCTGGTCATCCAATAACACACCAGCAAGCAATAATCATCACAATGATCACCAACGTGATCATCAGGATCATGAGATGGTTAATCAGATCCAGGGGTTCCATGACACGACCAATCATCATCATCAGATCTTCGGCTTGAACACAAACACGGGTTTGATAGACTTCTCCAAGCAACAAAACCACCACCACCACCATCATCACCAGAATGGCATGGCAAGTGGGGTTGAGGAGGCAAGTGGAGGTGAGAATCTGCTTCTAGAAGATTCTTCACCACCCTCCATGAGAATCAGCAATGGTAATTTCCCATGTGAAGTGAATGAAGAGAGAGCACCACCACCAATAGCAACAAGACCAAGCCAAGGCCTTTCCCTTTCTCTCTCCTCGTCCAACCCTACAAGCATCAGCCTCCCATCCTTCGAACTCAGACCACAAACCCAACAGCACGACCATGTCCTCACCACAAGAGTTGTCGGTTCTTCGAGACAAGGGTATTTCGGGAAACTCCACCAGAATCTCCAACATACCCAGATGATGATGATGACGATGATGATGAACAACAATAGCGACATCAACACTGCTAACCATCATCGCCATCACCACCATCAACAGCAACAACATGGACATAATCAGTTTCAGATCGTGAGATCAAAGTATCTGGTTCCTGCTCAGGAGCTTCTTAATGAGTTTTGCAGCCTCGGAACCAAACAAAGTGACGAAGAGACCGTGATGATGAAGCAGAAGATTGAAAAGGGGAAACAACAGTGGGAAAGTAATAATAACAACGATAATGGTTCTGATCATCATCATCATCATCATGAATCTGCAAGTACTTCTTCAAGAAAACATGTTCCCCCTCTTCACTCGCTCGAGTTCATGGAACTGCAGAAGAGGAAAGCCAAGTTACTCTCCATGCTTGATGAGGTACCCACACACAAACTTATATGGGTATATATATATATATGCGTATATGTGATTATAACACTTCTGTAGATCAAAAACAATTCATGGGTCTTTCAAAGATGTTGTCTTTTCAATCGAAGAGAGAGCTATCCGACCATAGAACAAGCGTCCATATATACAAAATGTGAATTCTTAATTACAAGATGTAAATTTAGCTATACAGTTGTTAAAAAAGCTTCATTTTTTTTTTGTCGTGAAAAATGAAAAAAATAAAAATCAATTGCTAGGTCGAAAATGGGTCCTTTGTTTTTGTTCGTTTCGAAAACCTAAACATGGATATCTCATCCACATCTCTTGTATTTTTCTCGATTCTTAGGGTCCATTAGGCTTCAACTTACACATAAAGAAGATTCTTTTCTTTGTCTTCATCTCTATTATATGTTTTCCCCTCAAACAAAATTTGTAGAAACAAAATAATTAACATGTTTTTTTTTTCTTAGGCCAAAACATTTGACATTTCATTTTAAAAGATTTTGCCCCTTTTCCCCTGTTTTCATCGTTTCTCTTTTTTAAGCACATAATTTCCCCCACGAAAATTATAATGTGAATTCTTAGCTTTTTTTTCATATTTGCTTTGAACTAAAACGGTGACTTTGGGGACCTCCCATTTTAATAGCAATCAATACGAAAAGAAGAATTTTTCTCTTGTTCATACATAAACATGTATATATACGGTGTAATAATCGATTCTTTCTATGAACAAAACGGTGTAGATTGACCGGAGATACCACCACTACCGCGAGCAGATGAGAGCGGCGGCGGCTGCGTTTGAGGCAGC